TGTGCACACACACACACACACTTGCCGCTTGACATCAGATGGGAGTGATGTTATAACCTAGCAAGCAGGAGCCAGAGCAAACGAGCCGAGAGGTGCTTGCAAGTGACAGACAGGATCGAGAGGTTTCTAGAAGGTGTCGACACCTACCCAACCTACTTGACTTATATCCCGGAACCGGATTTGCAGACAGTTTCCATATAGGTTTTATGGTGCTACCTGGAATATGCCTATCTAATTACCGCGAGACGGGAGGGGCGCTCTTTGTTGCTTGTGTTCGTTCCCGGTGGTCTAGGTAGGAGAAGAGAATGGGCACACAATGAAAGTGTAACGTATCGGACTAGTCTGCAATGCTGGCTAGGCATGGTAGCCTGCTGCATGAGCGTTTGTGGCATTGCTGCAGGCTGCTCGGAGAATACTGGGTGTAGGTAGATGTCAGCCCAGTAGGGTTACGTCTGTGGTCTCCCGATGCCGTCGAGTGGTTTGACAGCCAAGATGTTCAAGGAAATTTGGTGAGATTAGGAGAACAATAATATCGAGCGCTGTTCAGCGTTGCCCATGAGTGCTGTATCTTAATTGATTATCATGAACTGCGTGATTGCAGCCTCGTTGATGCTAATAACTTCGATTGCCTAAAGCAAAAAAAAAATACAAAAAATGAGAGATTAGCTGCAACTCGTTTCGATCGAGTGACCTCCGGGTTATGAGCCCGGCGCGCTTCCGCTGCGCCATGCAGCTTGTTAATCATTTCTTGATGTTTGCTGTAGACGAAAACTCTGCTTATCATTGTGGATCGATGGGCGCTACTATTGTGGGTTTTTTTCGTGTCCTCAACTTTTTGAGGACGGCATTGTGGGTTTGTGGATGAATGAAAGGCAAGGATGCGCATGTGGCTCTGGGCGGGTACATGCGGGTTGCATAAGCCATCCTCACTGTCAGGCTGTGAACAAACAGAAGAATTGGCACTGCAAGTCAGTAAAATGTGCAATCTTTGTCAACTTGTAGCTTTTTAAAAACAAAATGGTGTTGAAAGATTGTCAAGAGGCCTTAAAAGATAGTCAATATGGCTTCAAAAAATAGTCAAGAGGCCTTCAAAATAGTCAAGAGGCCTATTCACTTTCTATCAAGGCATGGTTCAGAATATGATGTACATTGGCTTACTACTTGTACAACACCAATTATTCTGTCCACTGCAGGGGAGCAAGGCAAAAATACCAGTAACACATCAATGATGAGAAGGGCAATAGGGGTTATGAATCATAGCATTAACTCCCCTCCTCTATACATCCACTCAAATATCCTAGCAGCCTCTGCCTCTCCTATCCTATCACCTCAACATCACCACCGCCTCCCTCTGTCAGTGATCAAACAGAAAAAAGAACAAACGCCTAGGTTCATGGTCCCGTGGTATATTAGAGCAGAATCTCATCAACAACTTCCCCATCATCTTACAACCCCCCTCCACCCAACTAACAACAAACAAATAACTAAACACCAAAAAACAAAAAGGGGTATGTAACAGTGATAAAACTTATGTGCAAAGATGAAAAAAAAACAACAACAAAAAAAAACAAAAAAACTCATCAGTCATACGCGTACAAGATATGTCAAGACCGATAACAGTGGTTTGTGCAAAAGAAAAAAGAAAAAAAAACCCAACGAAGAAAAACCCTAAGCAGTCAAAGCAGGAGGAGGAACCGTCAAGTCTGGTACTTGCGGTTGCCCATCACCCTCACCACCCGAGGCCCCAGACATGGTAGGCGACGCCGGGGCGATTTCTGGATCGGGGATTTGAATATCAAGCTATCCCGCAAAGTTAGCCATCTGCCACCCCATCCAACTCCCAAGAAGAAACAAGAACTCACACTCATGTACCCCGTCCTCCTCAACGGCACAATCTTGGGCGGGATCACATTCCCCCCCTCATCCCCAGGGTGATCCGCCCTCACCGTCTTCTCCATCTCCTTATTCCACTCTTCAATCCACTTCTCCAACCCCTTCAGCCTGCTCTTCACCCCCGTAAGTCCAAAGTCATCCCACAACCACCCCGTCGCCAAACCGAGTACACCGTCCAAAATGTTCCTCCAGTTGTACGCGCTAAAGGCCGGCACGAGCTCGCTGTTGAGTTTTTCTATTACTCTCCTAAATTCCTGCTCGCTTACTCCTGCTGGGTCCAAGATGTCCGGGTAGAGGTTGGAGAACGTCGGGGCGAGGTCACCTTCCAACAGCCAGTCCCTACGGATGCGGATTATACGTGTGGTGGTGTATTCTGGCGAGTCTATCGGCACGTGAGGGTTCAGATGTGGGTAGCAGGGATGTTGGGGGCCCCATTCCTCGCCATTGTCAGGTTGCTCATCTGGGTCGCCCATGATGGAGGAGTCAGATGACATTTCGGAGCCGATGCCTGACATGCGGGAGGCCATGGACAGACGCGGGTTGGCCACGTCCGGCCCACGTTCCAGGTCGCGGGAGTAACGATCTCCTGCGCCGACATTGTTGTCCGGCTGGGACGGTAATGGTGGTGGCGCCATGACTTCTTTGCCTTTCCCTTTTCCTTTGCTGTCTCCCCTCTGGTGTTTCGCTGTCGATTGATCAAAACTGAGACCGAATGGTACTCGAAGACGTGACGAGATGCTCTGGCTGTGGCTTCTGGTTTTTCGGAATTCGGACACGGAGAAGAGGTGCTGGGATGGGGGCTGTTGCCGCAAAAAGGATGGCCCTGGATAGCAAGCCTCGACCGGCGAGGGTGAAGGTGTGGCGCGAACCGATGGCGGAAGGCTGATGCGCTGCTCGGCGCCGGCGTTGCGTTCGAGGTGAAGACTGATTCGGTTTGAGATGGATTGACGCGGTCGCTGTTCGGGACTCTGTAAAAGTGGGTGCTCACCAGCGGCGGCCCTGCTGGGCTCCTCGGCAGTGGCAGGGGTAACTGTCAGCGGGACGGGCGGAGGAGGAGGTGAAGACGGAGCACGGCGTCTGCGAGCAGTGCCGTCGGAAGAGGTTGGTGTTCTCGGGGTCGAGTTGGTGGGGTTCCACAGACGGGCGGGCGAGGTTCGTTGGAGTGGTCGGTGGAAAGGGGTACCGCGGGTCCGGAATGGGGACTGATCAGGGAAGGATGATTCCTGGGCGCTGGGTCGGCCCCGCCGTAACAAACTGCTTTTTCTGCGCAACGGCCGGCCGGGCGCTACTGGTTCGAATGGCGGAGCGGCGGGCGCGGGATAATCGAAGGGGTAAGGGGGCTGCTTGGTCGGCGGAGACGACAGACTCGTGTTTGTGTGCTGGGTCGGTTGGGCGGCGGTTGACGCATCTAGGGCGGTATCTTGCTTGTGGGGGGGCGCGTGGGAAGCCGTCGGAAAGATGTTCTAGGGATGGCCGTCTCGGGGACGGCCTCCTCTAGGTACAGAATGTGTAAGTGTCTGGAGACGGTGGGCAGGCGCAATCTTCGGCTGGTGCAATCTTCGGCTGGTGCAATCACAATCAGCTCATCAAAATTACTAGCAGTTAGTATCCTCCCTGCTAGTAAATCTTGTATCGCGCCTGTGGATTGCCGACTGCCAATCTTGTCGGAGTCGTGGCCCAGGGGGATAAACGATTGACAGTGGTTGGCGGCGTGGGATGCGGACTTGATGGAATACTCTCTAGAAATGAAAACGATTGGACTACGGGATAAATTGGAAATCGCTGTGATGGCCGACACAGCGTGACGCCGACCTTTGATTTGCGACGACGTGTTGGAGTGCCGCGGCTTTTTACACGTGCCACCCGGCGGCAGCTGGCGGCTGTGTCTATCTTGGCAGCACGATCTTCATCAACACAACTTCACAGGATGGTCATCTTCGGGGGGTTAACTGATGAGTTTCATAGCTATAGCTTCGAGGCCAGAGACTTTTGAATTCATTGAGCCTCATTCACTTGCTAGGTAGACACTGCCTGATTTGTGTGTGTTCCACGTAGGTGGATCAGTCGTGTAATCGACATTCTTTGTCCGTTGTCTTTTTACGTAGAGGAAGAGTTCTTCTGCATCATTCTTTTTCATTTCGATTCTAGCACTTCAAGTCCGGGTTGATTGTTACATCTGAGACTCTATCGCGGAGTTGGTCGAGTCGAGTCGAGAGAAAACGTCAACTTCAAATTTGCCTGGAGAGCCAAACAGAAGAAACGTGAGCCATGCATGGCCTGGCTATAAGCCGGTCGACAATGCTCATAAAAAGTGATCCTAAAAAGGGTCTTGGAGCAAAAACAGAAAAAGAGTTCAGCCCTTGAAAGTGGAATCGAACCCGTCGGTTGATGACAGTCAGAACACCTACGTATCTCTTTTCGGAGTGATCTGGTTTCGTGGGTAAACAGAGCGTACCATAATACCACTTGACCAAACCACCCTCCGAGGCATTACCGCCCCGTGTTATATCTCTGCAAAATCCTAAACTATATCCCCCACGAGCCGTTCGACTGGCCGCTCCATTCCCATACTTGCTCACCGAGCAACAATTCTTCAACTTTGCAAGGGTATTTCTTTCCAAAACCTGCCCGCCTCTTTAATATGCCCATTCCCACGTCCATGATGCTTTAAAATACAATGCGCGCCTACCAAGTGCAAGCAGACAACCTGGAAGGAAGGTACATATCCAAAACTGCAACTAGGGTATCACCACAGAAATTCATTAGTGGGAACGTAACAGATCCCCCGCTGAAGATGTGGGGAAGGCGCCGGGAGGCCGGCACCTAACGCGGGACCCCGCAAAGCTTATTCGGGTGGGGAAAGAACGGGCAGGTCAATGCCGTCACCCACCTCTCTCCAATTCTCTCGAAACTCAACTGTTGGTTCTTGTTCTGTTTATTCCTGTCACCATTATGACTTCTCCAACCGCTTTTTGAAAAAGATTTATTTTCTTGTTGTTGTTCCGTTCTGCTACATGCGTCTTGCCAGTATAATACCACCCATCGCTACGTCACGCCCTCCAGCTGAACCGAGACACTGGACATCCCTGCCATCACATCAAGGGAAACATTTCTTCCATATCCCAGTCATGAATCATCGCCTCAGACTCACGACCTCGTTGGACTCATGCCCTGGTCCAAGTTCCCAGGGCATATCAACGGCCCTGGAAACCATGCACGAGGAGTCGGAGTCTGTCCACTCCGGGCCCCGGTCACCAATGTCCGGTGGTACCGCCCCCAGCGCTTTCGAGGACGACCACGGCCGACGTCGAAGCTCCACTTTCTCAGTGTACAGCTTGAACGAAGCCGGGCGTGGCCTTCACGATGAGATTCTCGATCCAGGGCCGTTTATACACCGAAGCGAGGTATCATGGGGAGCGACACTTCCCTTAGTATTTGCCCTCCTCCCGGCACTGGTCGGGCTAGTCTTCAAAAACGGCAGCTCGGTTATCACCGACCTCATTTTGTTGGGGCTGGCGGCCGTGTTTTTGCACTGGTCGGTAACGGTGCCGTGGAAGTGGTATCATGCGTCACAGCAGGTTCGGGAGGAGGAGGGGTCGTTTGTGGAGAGTGCTTTTCAGGACGACAGCGGGAGCGATGATGCTGTCAGCCCTCGGCAACAGAACCCCGGGCCGGATGAACAACAGCCATCACAGCCAGATCCCCAGACCCGCAAGATGGACCGCCGCGCCAAAACCGCCAGCCAAGCCCTCACGCTGCTCGGTCTTCTGGAATGTGCCGCCTTGTTGGCTTGCTTTGTCGCCCCCGGGTTGGCGGCCTGGATGCTCCACCACGGCCGGAACCTTTTGTCGCGAGGCTCGGAGGGGTTGGTGTCAAACTTTAACCTTGTCATCTTTTTTATTGCGGCGGAGATATCGCCCGTGTCACACTTTATGAAGCTTATCCAGGCCCAGACGCTCCACCTCCAGAGACTGGTCCACAGCAACTCCAACCCCTACCGGCAGGAAAAAGTCACGATGAATCAATGGAGGGAGTTGATTGCGAGGTTGGATGAACTCGAAACACGGGGACTGACCAATGCTCCGTCACCAGTGGAGGCAGACACGAGGCGGGTGCATGCCAGTCTTGTCAGGGAGGTGAGGAATCAGATACAGCCTGATATTGATGCGTTGAATAGAGCGGTTAGGAGGTATGAGAAGAAGGCTAGGGTCCTGGCGGTGCACACGGAGGGGAGGTTGAGGGATCTGAGGCAGAGGGTGGATGATGCTATTAGCTTGAGTGCTGTTGTTGCGGGGAGGGGGCGGAAGGGGACGGAGTGGGATTTGGTGGGGTGGTGTTTGGGGGGGGCGGTTTGGGTTTTGATGTTGCCTGTCAGGGAGGTGATTAGGGGGTTGGCAAAGGTGTTGGCGGGTGTGGGGTGGTTGATGGGGATTAAGGAGGAGGGGGGGGATGAAGCCATGAGGGGGAAGAAGAAGGGGGAGATGGATGGATCAGAGGTAAAAGGGAAAGGGGTGGAGAGGGAGACGAGGAGGAGCGGGAGGGCAAGTGGGAGTGGTGCTAGTGGGGGGAATGGCGAGATGGATGGATCAGTGGTAAAAGGGAAAGGGGTGGAGAAGTGGATGAGTGGTGGTAGGAGTGGAAGCGGGAGTGGTGCCAGTGGGGGGAAGGAATATCTTGGACGGAGGATGTGATTGGGGTGGGGTGGGGATATGTAGGTTAATGTATCGAAGCGGGTAAATTTCACCGGCGCCTTCA